TCGTCCCTTTGGTGTCCCCTCCTCATCCCTTTGGTGTCCCCTCCTTATCCCTTTGGTGTCCCCTCTCCATCCCTTCCAGATTTTACTCTTTTTGGGTGAAAGCAGAGTGGACTTCCCAGTGCAAACCACGATGCTGGTCCCTCCTTCTGGCACATGGTGGCAGTGCCACCCCTTGTCCCCAGCACCCCAGTAACCCCCAGGAAGAAGGACCTGAGGAGCAGGGCTCTGGTGGGGCAGGGCAGGGTCTTGGTGCTGATGCTGCATTTCCCATCAGCTTGCAGGACCTGACCCTGTACAACCCTGAGAGGACCATCACAGTGAAGGGCTCCATCGAGAACTGCTGCAGAGCAGAGCAGGAGATCATGAAGAAAGTGAGGGAAGCCTACGAGAACGACGTGGCCGCCATGAGCGTGAGTGGGGTTTGGTCCTGCCCCGCTCCTCAGCTGGCAGGAGCTCTCTAGGAGGTGGCCTGGATAAAAACAAACGAGCCTTTCTCTCCTCTTCAACCTCAGCTACAGTCTCACCTCATCCCTGGCCTGAACCTGGCAGCAGTTGGTCTCTTCCCTGCCTCCTCCAACGCGGTGCCTCCTCCACCCAGCAGCGTCTCCGGGGCCGCCCCGTACAGCTCCTTCATGGTAGGTGAACACCAGGCAGCTCCCAACTGCTCCTGCTTCCAGCTTGGGGATCCCCCCCCCGCGTGGAGAAGACCCTGGTGATGGTCAGAGTTATGCCTTCAGCACCCCTTGCTGCCAGGTCCAGCCTGGGTTCAAGATCTCGAGACCTGCTTGGTCTCCTAAACTTTTGGGGATGGGGTGGAGGGAAAGGTGCTCATCCCACCTCCAGGTCTGGTGGTGGCTCCTTGCCTGGCACCTCTGGGAGAGGTGTGGGCATCACTTGGGAGGGGATTTGGAGCCTGTGGTGGTGGCACTGAGCCCTGCCTCTTGATGTTGTCCCCCCACAGCCCCCCGAGCAGGAGACCGTGCACGTCTTCATCCCCGCCCAGGCCGTCGGTGCCATCATCGGCAAGAAGGGGCAGCACATCAAGCAGCTCTCCCGGTTCGCCAGCGCCTCCATCAAGGTAGGGTCACCTCGCTGGGGACCCCCAGCTCCACCAGCACCTCCTGGAACAGCAGAAACCACCTGAAAAACCTAAAAGGGTGGGGCCGTGCTGGTCCCACCACGGCCACCATCTCTCTTCCCACCTCCAGATCGCCCCTCCAGAGACACCCGACTCCAAAGTGCGCATGGTTGTGATCACAGGCCCTCCAGAAGCTCAGTTCAAGGTTCCTCCTGTGCTGCCCTCACCGCGTTGGGGCTTTGGGGTGCCCCTCTGTGCCACCCCACATGGTTGGGGTGGGAGGAGCAGGGTGGTGGGACCCCCAGTTTTCAGCGTGGTCTGCAGATGGGGAGACCCAGCACCAGCTCTTCCAGGGGCTGAGTTGGGTTGGAACCCCAAGAAACTGGGATTTCATGGGATGCTGTCCCATCCTGGGGATGGAGACCCACTGGGCTGGTGGGAGGGACTTTTCAGAAGGGCAGGGAGGGATGGGATGCTGGGAAATGGATTAAAACTGGAAGAGGGAGATTGAGGTGAGACATGAGGAGGGAATTATTTGCTGTGAGGGTGGTGAGAGCCTGGCCCAGGTTGCCCAGGGAAGCTGTGGCTGCCCCATCCCTGGCAGTGTTGAAGGGCAGGTTGGATGGGGCTTGGAGCAGCCTGGGCTGCTGGGAGGTGTCCCTGCCCATGCAGGGGTGGGACTGGATGATCTTTAAGGTCCCTTCCAACTCATTCTATGACGACACGGAGAGGCAGGACATCCTGGCTGGTGCCTCACTCCCTGCTCTCTCCCCTCCCCAGGCACAAGGCAGGATCTATGGGAAGCTGAAGGAGGAGAACTTCTTTGGGCCGAAGGAAGAAGTGAAGCTGGAGACACACATCAGGGTCCCCGCCTCGGCCGCCGGGCGGGTCATCGGCAAGGGGGGCAAAACCGTAAGGAGCAGCAGTGCTGGTGGGGCAATCCCTGGGAAGGGGACATCCCTGGGGGGGTTCTGCTTCACACCACTGCCTGTGGACATCAGGGGGACAGGTTTCTGGGTCGCCCTGGCTGGGTTTTCCCTGAGGGGCTTGTCCTTCCCACACAGCCTGACCTGGGGGGGGGTCTCTGCCCCGCAGGTCAACGAGCTGCAGAACCTGACAGCAGCAGAGGTGGTGGTGCCAAGGGACCAGACCCCTGATGAGAACGAGCAGGTCATCGTGAAGATCATTGGGCACTTCTACGCCAGCCAGGTACTGCCCAGGCAGCTCCTGCAGTGAGCACTAGTGGATTCTCCGCTGGCTCGTGTTGGGGTTGTGTCCGCGCGTGCGTCTTCCTGTGGGAGTTTCATCCAGGCCTGGCTGGTGGTGGTTGCAGAAGTGGGTGATAGAATAGAATCCTAGAGTGGTTTAGGTTGGAAGGGACCTTAGAGATCACCCAGATCCAACCCCCTGCATGGGCAGGGACACCTCCCACCAGCCCAGGCTGCTCCAAGCCCCATCCAACCTGCCCTTCAACACTGCCAGGGATGGGGCAGCCACAGCTTCCCTGGGCAACCTGGGCCAGGGTCTCACCACCCTCACACCCAAGAATTTCCTCTTCATGTCCAATCTAAATAATCTTCTTCCAGTTTTAACCCATCACCTCTTGTCCTCTCCCTCCCTGCCCTTGTCCCAAGCCCCTCCCCAGCTTTCCTGGAGCCCTTTCAGGCACTGGAAGGTGCTCTCAGGTCTCCCTGGAGCCTTTTCCAGGCTGATGTGTGATCCTTTGCCATGAGTGGTGGCAGTGGTAGTGCATGACCTCCCTAACCCAACTCCTGGAGGACACCACACTCCCAACAGGCCAAGGAAGGATCCCCAGGAGCAGCTTCCCCCAGCCCTGCCCAGCTCTGCAGCATCACTCACAACATACAAAACCATTTCCCTCACCGAGGGGGGTTCTCACCACCCCTCGTGTCCCCCCCTAGGGTCACCCCCAGCTTCCCCCCTTTGTTCTTCTCAGATGGCTCAACGCAAGATCCGAGACATCCTGGCCCAGGTCAAGCAGCAGCACCAGAAGGGACAGAGCAGCCAGACACAAGCCAGGAGGAAATGAGAAGAGCAGCTCCAACCCCAACGTGAAACATGGAACAAGCCAGTGCTGGGGCTTAAAGAGTGGCTGGGAATCAGTTACCGTAGACAGATGCTAATGATCTTAATTAACTGAACCAGATTTCAAGGCAGTTTGATCGACTTAGGGTTCAAAAAAACCCCCAAAAAACCCCAAATTAAAAAAAAAAAATAATAATTTGGATCCATTTTTAGCTCCACCTGCCAGGACGAGCTACTTAAATGAAGCAAGAGGTGCTGCCAGGCCAAGGTTGGGGTCCCACCAACCCCTCTGGGGGGGCAGCAGTTGCCCTCTCATCATTTAAGTAGCCCTTGGAGGTCCCATCATCCCAGCCAGGCACCCAGTGGCCGTGTCTCCCTGACCCCTCCCTCTCCACTCCTGGTGGACATTCCCTCCAGGAACATCCAACCTTTTTTTTGGAGCATTTTCATTAACATCTCTTTTTTTTAAATGTTATTTTATTTTTTATTTTTTTTTCTTGGAAAAGAGCAATTCCAGCAGCTTTCCTGGCCCTGGGATCCATTGCAGGGCTAGAAAGGAACATGGTTAGAAAAAGAAACCACCCAACCACATTGGCACCACATGGATTTGGGTCCCTTGGGAGCTCAGCATCATTCCAACCCCTGATCCAACATGGGTGGGAGGGCAGGATTCCTCCTGCCTGTGCTGCCTGCACTGCAGTGCCTTGGGAATCTTAAGAAACCAGGAGAAAAAAAAAAACCCACCTTTTTGATTTTCCAGGATAATCTGGGGTTTGTTTTTCTTTTCACTTGCTTCAAAGTTTCTTTTTGTTTTTAGGTCGAAGAAAGAATTATGGTTATTTTTCAATTTTCTGTTGTTTGGGCTTTTTTTTTTTTCATTTTTAGGGTTTTTAATCTTTAATTATTATTTTGTAGCCTATGAAATAATGGCAGAATGGGACACAGGAGCATTTTTCCCACCGTGGAGGTGACAACCCAGCCTAGAGATGTGACAAATTATCCCAGGAGGGGAAGGGGTGAGGAAAAGGGGCTTTTCCCTCCTCCCTTCAAAAAACCAGCATGAAACACCACCAAAAAAAAAAAAAGAAAAAAAGACAAAGAAGCCCCTGCTTGATGGAAAATTAAATGATTTTTCATTTTATAATCAGATTTTGGGAGGTAAAGACATGGTTTGGGGAGGGAGGGAGCAGTGGAAGGATGTTCAGCCACAGGGAACTCAGCTTTGCCACTGATCCAGGGCCAGTTTTATGCTCAATTTTGGGGGGTTTTCTGCCCCCAAATCCCACCAGAACCATGAAGGAATCCAAGGATTTTCCAGAAAACAACCCAGGGGATTATTTTTTCTTAGCAGCCAAGTGGGGAGGTGCCAATTTGGGGGGCAAGTTGTGTTTTACCCCCCTCATCTCCAAACCCTTCAAAGAGGGGAAAGAAGCTGCTTGGCTCGTTTTTCTCAGTTTCTTTTCTAAACTAAAACTCCAAACACAACCCCCAAACTAAACCAAACTATAAAATCATCATTTAGGAAAAAAAACCAACAAACCAAACCACCACCAACCCACCACCCTCCTTTCTGCAGTGAGAAGAATTGATACCAAATAGATGAGTCAAATGGTCACTGATTCCCGTCACTCTTAGGTGGGTTTTTATTATCTGAGATAGATTTTAAGGGTTTGTTTTTAAGATGGGGCATTTGGAAGGGACAGTAACTGCTGCCATCACCTCTTCCAGGCAGGGGGAAGGTCTTGTCTCTGTGTTTCTCTGCAGCAAATCCAAGCAAAAGTTGGGATTGATGCTGATTTTCCTGCAAATCGGAGCTTGAGGGTGGAAACAATGAGAAATCAAAGCAATATTTGATTGATTTTAGGGGAGAGGGGTGATGGTGGATCCTGCACCCACCAAGAAACCTTGGGGGGGAACCCAAGGTGAGTGAATTTGGGGCTAAAAGGAGGGAATTGGGAGGGAAAGTCACCTTGGTTGCTTTTCCAAAGTGGAGACCAGGCCTTGGAAGCCAAATTCAGCATCAGGAAGGTGGGAAAAGTCCCTCGAGGAGGGAACTCAAGCAGCAGTTACTGTCCTTCAAACCATTGCAACACCAGGGAGAGGTGGGGGAGGAAGGGCAGGAATTGCTGTGAGTTTGATCAAGGAGAGAGGGATTAAGGAAAAAAAAAAAAAGGCAAAAAATAATGAAAAAATCGTGAAAAAAGAGGAAAAAAAGAAAAAAAAGAAGAGAAAAGGAAAAAAAAAACAACTACCTCAAGGTATGAAGTTACCTCAGCAATTGATTTTCTTTCTTTTTTTTTTTTTTTTTTTTTGGGTGGCTTGCTGATATTTTATATAAAAGCTGATAGTCTTGAATATTTTATTTTTTTAATGAAAAGAGAAGTTAAGTTTCATAATTTCTTATGAGCCAGGAGTTATGTGCAGGTAACCAAGTGTTATGAGCTCTCTATGGAGAACGACAGGAATTGCAGGCATAGTGGAAAAGATGGCAGCATTCATTGTGAGCTATGAATTGTGAGTTTTCATTCCTTTTTTTTTGTCCCTTTTGGGCCTTTTCAAGCCAGTTGATGAACTTCAGCACAACCCAAGACCTCTCAGATGTCACCCCCCTTCAAAACCTCAGCCAAATTGGATCCCATTCACTTATTTCCATCAGAAAAAAACCCCTTTATTTCTACTTAAAATACCTATTCTAATTAAATTGCAACAAAAATCCCAACTCAAACCTGCCACTGGCTGAAAGGCTTATTTTTTTTTTGGTTTGTTTTCAATCCAACTCCATCAACCTATTTAAGAGCTTTGGGATCAAAAACTCTTCCACTCCTGGGATGTCAGGATTGGACTCCTGGGCAGTGTTGACTATGCAAAGTTGGGGCACAAGGGGTTTGCTGGTATTTAAACCACACCAGCTCAGGTGATTATTTTTTTTGTATCAAACACTTGGAAGCCATATATCTGTCTATATATATATATATCTATATAAAATCTATATTTATATATATATCCCACAACCCAAAGGAACCAGCCTCTCGTGTTGCCACGGGGGCAGCGTCGAACCATCTTCTCCACTATGATGCTGTTTTAAATATTTTTACAGAGTTTTTTGCCTCCGTTTTACCGAGGAAAAACAATTTAACAGGGAAAAGATGAAGGGGGGGGAAAAAAAAAGTGAGAAAGAGAGAAGAAAAACTTAACAGGAGCCATTTTTTTTTTCATATAAACACACGTCGAGAAGAGAAAGAGGATAAATCCAGCCCTGAGGAACCACAATGTTTGAACCTTTTCCTGCTTTAAAAAAAGTTCACAGGGTTGATTATTTAAGTCCCATTTGCTGTTTTTTCCACTGGGCCTGGAGGAAAAAAAAAGATCTTTTTCTTTTTTTGAATGATAGTTTAAAAATATAAACTACTCAGTGGTGCTAAAGTGAATTGGGGAGCAGTGGGAGCTGCTGTCCCACTGCCCTGTTGTCTCTCCAACCCCTCCTCCCCAAATTCTGGGCTGGCTGAGGAAGGTGGGATTGAGTTCTCACTGAACAACACTTTTTCCTATACATTTGGGGTGTAAAGAGCTAAATTTGGGGTTGGCAGCACCATCTGGCACCTCCTGCCCCTCGGGGTGGTGGGAGAGGAGCTTCCACGAGGGGGGTTTTTCCTCCTTTTCTTTGAATATTTTGGATTTTTTTTTTAAGGAAGCTTTGTCTTTATCCTGGGGAGAAAAAAAAATGGGCTTTTTAATGACTTGAAATCTCTGGCTCTTTCTCTCTTGATTTTTTTCCCCCCCTTTTGCTGTTTTCCAGCCTTGCACAGAACAGTGTATTCAGACATCGGTGATTATAATGGTCTCTTCCGACAGCAAGCGTTTTTGATATAACTGGTTCAAACTGTATCACTGAGGGATAAAAGAACAAACAAAACAAACAGAACCCCAAATCCCACCCCCAGCACCCCCCTCTGGTCCTGTTGATCTGGTTGTTGCAGTGAGATCTTGACCTAAAATCTGATGATTCAGGGAAACCTTTGATGCTTTTTCCTCCCCGAGCCGGTCCCGCTGCCTTGGAGTGATCGGTACTTAATTCTTATTTTTGGTGGGAATCTTTGTTTTCCCGAGGGGAATTATTTATATAAAGTGATTTGCAGTGAGGAAGACTCCTCTGAGCATCTCCTGTCTTTCTCTGGAGCCAAGCTTGAGGAGCTGGAAAGAGGGGAAGTGGGATAAAGTGGGATTCCCAGCCTGAGCTGGGTGGCAGGAGACATGAACGAGCTCTGGAATGGAAAAGCAGGATAAAAAGATAAATTCTAGTGGATCCCAAACCAAGCAGAAAGGATCCCCAGCCCCTCCCTAGCTCCTCCAGTCTTTTTGCACCAGAATAAAGAAGTAATTTAGAGGAAACCTCCTCTTGGAGGGGTGAGCAGCACCATCGGCTCCTCTCTGCCTTGTTTTTATCGTAGGAAAAACTTAATAGAGGTTCTGGGGGTTGTTTTTAATTTTTAATTGAGGGTTTTTTCCACCCCAGTGGACAAGAAGCAGCCCCAGCTGCTCTCTAGACCTGTCCCTGTCTGGGGGGTGAGGAGGGATGTGGATTTTGAAGTTGGGAACAGGGAATGCAGGGGAAGGGAAGTGGGATAAAATGGTTTCGTGCTGCTGGTTTTCTCTCCTGCTGTGGGGAAAAAAGGAAAGCAAGTAAGGAAAGCACTTCATGGTGCCTCAGTTTCCCCTCCCTGGGCTTGATGCTGCTCTCCTGCCTCCCGGGGTTGGTGTGAGGAGGAAGAAATTCCCACCTGGGGAAGCACTTGGTGCTGTATCCCGGGTAAAGCGTCGCCGGAACGAGCCGGAGAGACTCAACCTTGGGGGGGTTCTCCTCATTTTCCTTTGATCAGAGTCTTCTTTTGCCACCCAGCTGGAGAAAAAGAGAACAAAAAGAATCCCAAATCCATGTTCATGTTGTTTCTTTTCCAAGCTCTGAGGCTTTCCTGGGTGCTCAGAGCGCCCGTGGGTGCCGGGGCTGTGTTCCCTCTCAGCTGGTGAAGCTGGAAGGGTTTTTATAGGGTCAAACCAGGGGAAAAAATCCAGTGTAAATATTGCAAAGAAACTGCCTCTCAGCTGCATTTTGTGTTTCCTGGGCATTAGGTTTGGGGGTTGGTTTTTCTTCTTCTTACTTTTTTTTTTAGTGCATTAAAGAAAAAAAAAAAAAGGCAAAAAAAAAAGAGAGAAAAAAGCAGTGAAATTTAGATAGTTTATCAGTGCCAAGGGGAAGGGGGGAAATGATCCTTCTTTAATTTCTAGCTTGATTTTGAGTGCTTTCTAGACTCTGAAACAAAACCCAAGATCAGAAGCTCAAGGCTCATTATAATAAGTCAGTTGAAAACCTTGAATTAATTGAATTTCTTTTGATGGATGTTGGGCTCCCTGTCCCCTGCTGGTCTACACACCACGAGGCTGTTTTGGGAACTTTGATGATTTTCAGAGAATTTAGTCATTGAATTATTTTTTTTTTTAATTATTATTATTATTTTTTCATGTTCTGATGATTTGGGGTTGGTTTTATTTGGTCTTTTTTGATTTCTTTGCCCCGTCGTCGCGTTTTCTTTCGTTCGGGGTGAAATCCTGGGAAAGCTGGTGGGGTTTGGGTGGGTTTTTTTTTTAACTCCTGGAAAAGGTGTGGAAATAACTGAAGCATCCTTGGGAAAGTGCTGGCTCCTGGGGGCTGTGGGATTTGGGGTTGGGTTGGCTTTGGGAGCAGGGAAGGGGCAGCACTGGAGGAGCTTGGGAGGCTTCAAGGTGCTGGTTGGAGGTGGAACCACGAGCTTCCCACTTTTGGGAAGTGGTTTTGGGCAAGAATGAATGAATTTGGGATATCTGAGGATGGCTCCATGTTGGTGACATGTGGGGAGAGATGTGTCCCCATTTGGTTGAATCAGCCTTTATTTTTTTTCTTATTTTAAGGTGGTTTTTTTGGTGTGTTTTTTATTTGGGGTTTTTCTTTTTGGTTGCTTTGGGTTTGGTTGGTTTTTTTTTAATATTTGTTTTAATTTTCTGTCCTTTTGTTGCTCATTTGTGATTGCAGATGAGAACCCAGAGCGGAGCCAAACCAGCCAGAGGCTCTTCCATCATGAATTGATTCTTTTCTTTGATTTTTTTTAATGGGTATCTTCATTTTTGGGGGCCGTGCAGGTGCTGGGAGCTGGGAACACACACGTGCAAACTACCTCAGAGCTGGTGGGGGGACCCAAGGGACAGGTTTTGGGGTCCCCCCTGCTGCAGGATCCAGCCTCAGCCCCCCCATGGCCAGCTCAGCAAAGACCCTCCCAGCTGGTGGGGAGACAGTTTTTGGGGAGATCTGCAGGGTGGAGGAGGAAGAGGAGCTGGTGAGGAAGGTGGTTGAGTTGGATCCTTTGGGAAACGCACCACTGGGCTGACTGGGATGGGGGGTTTTGGTCCCTGCTGCTTCACTGCACGTGATGGGATTGGTGAGGGGGGGGGGTTTGTTGGATGATGGAGCTCTGGAGTGGTGGTGGTGGGGCACAGTGGGGGGGTGATTGGGCAGGGGGTGGTGGTGGGATGTTCCACCAGGCTATGATGGGATTCTCCATCAGGCCATGGTGGATGTTCCTCCAGGCTATAGTGGGATGTTCCTCCAAGCCATGGTGGGGTGTTCCACCAGGCCATGGTGGGATTCTCCACCAGACTATGGTGGGATGCTCTTCTGGACCATGGTGGAATGTTCCACCAGGCTATGATGGGATTCTCCATCAGGCCATGGTGGATGTTCCTCCAGGCTATAGTGGGATGTTCCTCCAAGCCATGGTGGGATGTTCCACCAGGCTATGGTGGGATTCTCCACCAGACTATGGTGGGATGCTCTTCTGGACCATGGTGGGATGTTCCTCCAGGCTATGGTGGGACGTTCCTCCAGGCTATAGTG